TATCAAAGATGTTTTTACATTTACTGAATATAATGAATTATGTAATTGCTCATCATATGAAAATATACGCAAGTGCCTTAAGTCTATATGGGATTTCGAAATTGCATCATTATTCAACATAATGATTTCGAAAATTTTCAAAAAATATTATCGGATTCTATAAAAAAAAATAATAGTCATTAAGGATCCACAATACTCTCACAAAAGTCCAACGTCTTCGTTTACTACAAAACTGATGTTGTAATATTAATTGTACAAGAAAATATGTGTAACACCCATCGACTGATTCTTTCGGGATTTTATAAATCTTTACAAGATGTGAGCACGGCGTATTGTCAAAAATGAAATATATGTTATTGTAATAATGAAATAAAAATAAAAAATCTTATGCCAGTAAATGATGAAAAAAAAAATGTTATACTTTTTTCATCTAAAAAAAAACAGTATTGTTCATAGTTTCATATACGTATTGTAATACAATATACTATATCATACACGTATAATATGTTTATGGAATATTTCGACGTTGTTCCAATTTTTTTTTGCCAATTATTTAGTATTCATAAAATAAAAATTACCATTATATAATCTGACATTTTTGCTTCTGCTGAACAAGAGCACAGAAATATATGTTCATGTATTTTATTATTTTATAAGCGAATGTTAAAGAGTGGGCAAGCAGGTAACTGTAAAGTTGTAAGTGTCGAGTGTCAATAGACGGGAAAATGGACTCGACGATAAAAAAAATGATAGTTGAATAAGTAAATAAATAGGTACAAATATTAGTAAAAAAAGTTTTTTTAATTAAAACACAATATCAAAAAAAAGGGATTTGTATTTATTTTAATAAGCCAAAAATAATCTACATTGTAATGCAAACATTGTATATTTGTATGTAATATACATAATTACCAATAATGAATTACTCCTAACATAGAAATATTAAAATTCTTAAAAGTTTATCATTTATCTTTCTATGATTTCATAGTTTTTAGATTCCGATTGCAGCGATGAATGTATTTATTAATGATTTTACAATGATGTGTGCTTTTTATTTATTACCTAGCGTCACTTTTGGAGCAGTAAAGATGCTTTGAGTCTTAACTTTGAAGGTGGTTTCTGGTAGATATCAAATTAGACATTTCAAACTTTCACAAAATGTTTGTATTGTCATTTCTTACACATGATACAATTTTCTAAACATTTCGACTATTTTTTTACTATTAATAGATATTTTCAGTTTTTAAATTTTGTTTTTCTTAAAATGTCAATGAAAAATTATCTACTGGGTAGAAAAGCTTAAACATTGAATACAAGATTCCTCTAGTTGTTATTTGTTATTATATCTACTTTAAAATATTAAAGATACGTAGACACAGTATTTTATTTTAAGTTCAAACTTTGAAAAAATTCGTCAAAATCATAAAATGTCGTACTTAAAAATGTATAAACACCGTCTCCGCTTGGTGTCGTTTTTTGTATACAATAATATGTCATGGAATTAAAATTTATCACAATCATTATTTACAGACACCCACTTGACACTTACAACTACATAGTGCAAAGCGGTACTCACTTGGCCGCCATTTTTATTTAATTTTATTTAGAATAAAGGCTTCGACAGCTAGGTCATTAGCCTCGTCGGAACTTAAAACTTTTGCGTTGGTAGGTATTTTATAAAATATACTGTATTATACTCAAAGCCATTCTAATAATATTTAGATTGATTTTAATCTACAGACTATTTATACCATGAACCTACACTATTTTACGGTAAGGTGGTAGGTATTTACTCAAATCTTAATAATATTCACTATTAAAATAGTTAATAATTAATAATATAATAAATGATGCTTGATATAGATTATATAGGCTGACAGACCGTCTCCGCTCAAAATCATTTTTCGTATACAATGATATTATATTATTGAATTAAAATTTAACACATCCATTACAATAACCGACCATCGACATTTACAGCAGAGTGGTACCCACTTTCCCACCTTTTTTTATTTAATTTTATGAGGAATAAAAGCTTTGACCGCTAGGTCATTAGCCTACATTTATGATTTACATTAATATTTATTATTGTATAATTACATTGAGTATAAAATTATATTTTGTAAAGGCATTTACAAAATAATATATCCTATTTTTAAATTTTGATATTTTAAAAAATATGTGTAATTTAGATGGATTTTGACTCTTTGTAGGGTTAATAAATAAAATATTATTTTTAATTTATTATTCCGTAGTTGTAAGACGTTAGTGTCTGTTGACGTCAATAAATCCAATAAAAACATTATCATATAAACTCACTAATAACGTCACTGGCATAGCATGGCAGTACCTACATTACGGATGATAATGACAACAACATTGTTGTTAAATACGACAAAATATAGTTGTGGATACGACATATATTATGATACCTACTCAGTTTGGCACAAAAACGAATCGGTTCGCTGGTAGACAAATCTTTTTTGGCTGCTGTGCCTAACTGCTAACGAGCGTCATAATATATGTGGTGTTCGAAACATTATGAATATTATACCGACTATGGCAGAGTTGTTCGACAGACGTAAACGCGATCATCCGTAATTGTTATTACAGAATAATAGTATGATATATTTGAATATTTGATGTGTTTCGAAGTAAGAAATATTTTCCATATCTTATGAATTGCGCACAGAAATCATAAAATAATATTTCATATATTTACGCCAATTATAGTATATGATATTAAATATATCATTATTTATACTTAAAATAATATTTGTCATAAATTATAAAATAGTACTGTATCAATAGTATATTCTACTAATTTCAATAGGTACTAAATATGTTATACAATTCAATACCAAACTATGAGAAATAGGTTATGTTCTAGTTTATTTTAAATATTATATTAGGATACAAAATTAAATCCTGTAATGATAAATGATAATACTTACTTACTCGTCACGTTTGGCGTTATACATAACATTATTATGCAAATTATAATTTCGTCAAAATAACCATTCAACTGGATCAGGCATTTATGGACCAGTATTTTTTTATTTATTTCAAAATATAATTTAAATTCATCTACATGACCTACGCCATTATTTCAAATAATTTCGTTTATATTCTCGAAATCACACTATTCTTAAAATATTTCTTTATTTTCAGTTATTCTTAAAAAAAATGTAAACAATAATTTTCAAAAGTTTCAATATGAGCTAATTCGTTTATAATCATATCTAGTTACAAATTTCCGATTTATCTTCATGTTTCTAAAAAAAGCATTAAATTATTAAAAAAAAAAAAAAAATATTATCAAAGTACAATTATTAGTTATTACTAGATTATTTATATTAAAATCAATAAATACGGTTTTAGTATTCTGTATGACTTATTCAGCTAATAAAATAATATTGACACTAAGACACTTTTTAATGCATATATCATCGAACATAATTATAAATTATTTATAATCAATAATGATCATCTTCATCTTTCATACCTAATTGAATAATGCACGAGTTAAGATTGAAATAATATTAAACTAATATGAATGGATGATTTACTTATTTACATTAGTATAGGTATCAAAGCTACACAATTTAAAAAATAACCGTTTTTAAACAATCAATCATATCGAATTATAAAAAGAAAAACTTCTTATAATATCAGTATACATAATACATATATATTATAAACAATTAAATTTATTATTTGAAATCGATTAAAAACTCACTGATCGCAAGTACTAATTAGTTATTTTACTTATGCAGGAATGGCACAATATTAGAACGAAATCATAATTTTTGTTACATTATGTTCTACTACTTCGATTTTTTATATTTATATTGCTATACTTCTATATTTTTCAAGATATGTATAATTATTCCATGGTAACATACTCGTATAGTTGTATAGATAATTACGATTTTATTATTAATTATTAATTGTTTATTTGTTTTAATATATCGCATGGTACCTATAGACTATAGACTATAAAGTATTAAAGTATAGGTACATATAATATATGTGCCTGATAAAATTTTTTTGTTAGCATAATTCTATCATTAATTTATTTATTAATATAATTAACACTTATATAACAGTCAAGTCATTAAAAACAATTCAATATTTTTTTTTGATTTTTGAAACGTTAAAATTATTTTTTCAAAACTGTTCTTATATTATAAAATGTTAAGTTTTACTTTTTATTTAAGCACGACTATAAAATTAAATCAATTATTAACAAAACAGTAGTTTAATAACAATAGCAAATTCAATTTTGATAAATATTTTTTTAAATTTAATATTTAATTTATTTTTATTCAACTTATCGAATTTGAGTGTCATTTTTGTGAACATGTCAATTGCCAACAATGTTTAACTTAATACAACTATTATACTAATGAGAACTCAATGGTGTTTATAAAACTTATTCATAATTAATTTTTGTTATCAGTGACTGTGATTTTATTTCAAAAACTCAATCTAAACGTTCTGTGGTAATTAGAATCTCATTAATCATTTTTTTTTTTTATATTTAAAGTAATTAAATAATGCATACAATATATACATACTAGGTAACTTCACAAATTGAAACAGTTATTATTTTCTATTTTACTATTTTTTTTTAGAAAAAAAAATTGTATTTAAAAAGTGGAAAATTATTGATATGTAATAATATACATATTTTTTATTTAATTTATTATTATTATTAACTATTATTTTTTTACCTATAAGTACAAAATGTATCATACGTTGAAATGTATGCCATTTTTATTTACATGTCAGTTATACCTTATATTATACCTAGCATAAATGAATAACAGTTCTAAGTTCTACAGCCGATCGTATAATATTGTATGTATACTGCAGGTATGCCACGTATTTTGCCTCTCAATATTCTAACCTCCTCAAAAAAAAAGCAAAAAATAAGCCGACAGACCAGACAAATAGTTTAACATAATATTAGGTATACTATTTAAAAATCTACTCACTCGATTACGAACGTTCCGAGGAGTATCCCATTTTCCGACAAACCGTTTTTTATTCGCCGACCGACATGATAATTAATAATATTACGTTGACCGCACAACACCGTGAACCGTAAAAGTGAATTATACGGGTTTTTTAACGTATCAAAAAAAAAAAAAAAAAATTAAAAACGAAAATCTCTCGTAGTTTACTCACACGATAAACACGCGATATCTACACCGGGACGAAACTCACGCAGAACCGTAACTATGGCATGCATGGCACACGGTCGGTACGCGAAAACTGTCGGTGGTTGCCGCAAACCCAAAACCGTGTGCCGAGCGGCGACGAGTATTTTGAAATCGATTATCGCCGTTCGCCATCTACCCCGAAACAATCAAACCATTCCGATCTGACACCCCCGAGCAACCCGTCGTTTAAGTCGTATTCACCACCGCACACACATTGTGGTTGTTATTGTTGTGCTTGTTATTATTATTATTATCATCATCATCGTAGGTCGTAGGTAATAGGATGTAGACCACGGTATTCTACTACTGGAGATTGTGTAAAATATTGGAGGGCTAGGTTTATTTATTTTTGAATTAAATTTACATTTAAATAGCAAAATAAATATTTACATTCTCGTCAGACCCCCAATAGTCCATGTATTTTGGTTCCCTCCATCATAAAATATATGTATTACCTTTGTGCAACAAATAATAATACATATGTAGGTACATGACAGTTAAAGTAAATAATCATAGTCAGAGTAAAGTTAAATAATCATAAAATTAATTTGGCCAAAATGTTTATTGTTGACATTTTTTTAGATTCTGAGCTGACAATTGGCTTAACAATTGAAGCATACTTATTTTTGTGCGTCTGACTCGGAAAACACTTTTTACAGTTGACCAAATTGTTCGGATCCTCGATTTTGAGGATTGTTTGGGGTTAAAGAATTTTGTTCTTCGGTGTATTTAAACTAGAAAGTGAAAATTCTGAGTATTTTTAAAAAATAAATTAAGGGCAAACAGGAATTTTTACCCAAAACCAGATTTTGTTGTAGTTCAAAAATGGATAAGTAGAGACTTTAATTTTTTATGAAATGTTTGTAGTAGCATTTTATAGACTAATTGGAAATGACCCATCAAAAAAGACTTTTTATACTGTTAAATATTGGTTGTCTGATGTGCACCTGTGAGCAGCTTCAGGTTTTCTGCGTGCACCGTGGCAGATCTTTAGCCGTTCTAACGTTGCCCGTAGTGCATAACGTGCACACTTCCGTTGTTCTCCCATTGATTTATATACTTATTTTTAACCCTTTTGTTTTGTTTTTGTTTTACCTGATTATTTTAGACTCATGTTTATATTTATATTTGTATGTTATATGCATACTTTTAATGACGTTTATACTAAATATCTATTCTTATGAAATAGGTTATATATTAGTTATTATTGACAAATGTAGGCAGTGTTGGTTTTTTTATTTTTTCTGAGGGTCTTATCTTATAAAATATAAAGACAAATAGAGTTTAACCCATTAATAATTACTAAATAAAATTTAATTCTTACTCAAACGAAAAAACATAACATATCATTCCAGATATGGTATAAATACAGATACACGATAATATTCTTCTGCTGATGTTGTATTTATATTAACTCGTAGAGTCAGTCCACTTGATGTTCTTGAAATCTTTTTTCTACTTGAAAATTATCGGCACTAACTACATATTATTATGAGTCAAATAATATGGATAAACACTTTGTAAATTGAAAAGCAAAATAATTTAAAATGGTCATTATACATTTTATTAACCTGAATTTTAAATACTATTCAAGTTAGATTCAAATTTAATGGTAATATTAGTCCTTAGATTAAAAGAATATTTGTGAATAAACTCGTAAATGGTAACTAATTTGTACAGCAAGATTAAAAATTTACAATTTAGACGTTCAATGGGCGAGGCGGCTGAAAAGTGAAAAGTGATTGTCAGTTTATCAAGGTGCTAATCCACTAATCGACTATAAATGTAGATATTCGAACGGTCGAACTCTATTATCACAAATAATAGATATCGTAATCGTCATAATTTCAAGGAAAATATAAATACCTAAATAGCAGTAGAAAACATTCAAATATACGGAGTAATAATGAAGAAATCACCAGAATTATGTATGACCTATATCCGCATTTAAAAATTGTAATAGCCAGTAAAACCCCGAACGCCCAAGTGAAAAATGTATCACAGGCCACAGCGTAAACTTGTGATCTTGGGGAGGCAAACCCCTGGACCCCCAGCCCCCTCCCCCGTAAAACCACCACTAAATTTAGGTATGATACAATTTTCGTTTTCTGAATAAAAAAGTCATATTATAATACAAAGTTTCATTCATGTTTTTTTATAGCATAAAATATCAAAAATACATAGCCACTTTTATTTTTTTATAAGGATTAAAATTTCAAATAATGACAAAATTCCTCTACATAGAGAAAATTCAAGAAACTATTTTATATCAATTATTGTTATTGAACATTTCAAATTTGTATACCCAATATTTGAAATTGTAACAAATTTGCGTTTAAGTATTTCTTACAAGAATTTAAAAAAAGAAAGTTTAATGTAAAGGCGCATTATTAATGAGTTATATGGTTACTTTAATGCGATATTTCCAATTGTTTTGTTGAAAAGGAATTTTATATCTGCACAAAAAACCGTACTGGTATTTTTGGCTTAATGTATCAATTTCATTTCCAGGTACTTATAAAACCGATCGGCTCAATTAACTCGACGACACCCACGTGGGTGATTAAATTGTTTATATTCTTCAGTTATTCGTAGGTACACGAAAATATGCGATATTATATAACAAATATAATAACATAATAGTAATAATAATAATATTATGTTATACATCGTTGCGTTGTACAACATTTGGTGTAGTGCAATTCAACAAGAACATATTATTTTTATTACAATATTATTTAACAATAATGTCTAGTATAATAATTATGTGCATATGATAATAATTAACATTATTATTGGCATAGGCATATTATATTATTATTCTAATTTATGTATATATTCATTATTCATATTCCTAAGGTCATAAATATTTGGATTTTGGATCATTATCGCAAAAATCTAACTTTGTCCAAATCCAATTTATATATTAATATTATACATCGATCACATCTCTTAAAGCTATTTACTCAAAGTATAGGATTTATTGACGTTTTTATGTTTATTTATTATTTGCTTCATAGCAATCATTGTAATTATTAATACTATCATAACTTATAATAATATGACATATTGTTTTTATTTTTTTTTTTTTAATATAGAAATATTTTAAGCCAAATAAACACAAATATTTTTCTTTTGTATTTATAGTTTGGTTAAATTAATTGTTAAATAAATTGCTTCTGCTGAAATATGTATATTATAAGACTGCATAAAATTCTAATAATATAGTTTTACTGTAAAATATCAAATATTATCACATTTAATATAATATTATACTTACAGATGAAATCGAAAAAATACATATATAGCCTAAAGGTAATTATTGATATTAGCTACCGTTTTAAAATTCGGGAATTTCAAGAATTATATTGTTACATTCTTCTGCATAATGCTACATTGATACAATAATAATAATTATTAGTTTCAAGTTGATATAGTTTTAGCATAAACAGCAACTCTTTTATAGAAACTAGAAACTACTGTGCTAGTGTCGTATTTAAGATTATTTTGGTGTGATGGAGGTAGCGGCTGTAATTAAAAAGAATATTCTATAATAATAATCTATATAGAATGCTATAAAATGAAAACAATTAATCATTACCGCAGTTATAAATATATAGCTAAACCATCACCAACCAGTATACCAGCTATAGTATACATCTACAAATGACAATAATGTGGCAAATAGCAAATGTAATAAAGAGATTGAAAATACTGCCAAAAATAACAAATTCTAAAACTCTCTGATGTGTACTGCATCTTTTTTATTTTCATAACATACTTTATCTACAAACAGGTACACCTAAAAAAGTTATATCATCAATATACATTATAAATATCATAATATTTTAGTATTATTTTTCTATATTAGGCATCAGTTCAAAGAATATATAATAAATTCTTGGTTAGGTATGGGTGAGGGTGGAGGTGGGGCTTGAAAACCCTTTACAAGCCTTTCCATAAATATTCCACTGGAAACGATACATACAAATTAAACTTTCTAAGTAACGATCGAGAACTTGCAATAACTAATAAATATTTTGTGTGTGTGCATTCACATCCAACACTATCCTATAAAAAAGAGAAAGAAAAGTGAAAAAAATTAAGCTAAAATAAAACTAATGAAATGTGTGATTTTTCCGACACACCAAAAAGTGGTGACAGCCTGTTATAACTGATTTAAATCATCAATTTATAAAGAGATTGAAAGTATAGAGTGAGGGTGAGAAATAAGGCTTCACTAAACTATATATTTCACTTTTAAAATACCTACCCTTCTAATTTTGGAATATTTTAGCAGACAATCTTATATTTCTACCTATTTTATAAATTAATTAAAACTTAACTAAGGTAGTATTACCTTAAGCAGTACACCTAACCAAATAAAATTAATGAATTTTTTACTAAAGAAAAGAATTTTGGTTAACCCCTTTAAAGAATCTGTATTTAAAATTTTAAACTGCTATAGTCTTTATAAATATGGTAATTCTTAATGGTTTTTTTTTTATTATTAGCTTCTCGAGTAATTGCATAAACTATTATAGCTTAACAATAAATTATAATATAGATAAAGTATTATAACAACCCAAACGTCGAAAAATACCATAATAGTATGATAAATGAAATAAGAAAGAAAAAAGAAAAAGAAAAATAGAAATAGAAAAAAAACAACCTTGAAGTTCGCAGTGTATATTATGCACTGTATAATTTACCTTGAATATTTCTTCAAACAGTAAATACTGACCATTTCAAAAAGTATTATCAATTGGAAAATAATGTTTTTATGTACCTACCTCCTAATCTAGTCAAAACAAATTTTTTAAATTAATTAAACTATTAATATTTTTTTCTGTTTTAATTTTTTAATTTACCATTTTGGAAAGACGACACATTTTTATTTCATTTTCCTAAATATTTTAATAAGGAACTTAATGTACAAAAATCGAACTTCAAACATATGATTATCTAGCTTTACGTATTTAAAGTTTAGATGATTGGAGTTGTAGACCATGATTTTGACCGCAATCGACAGGTGTT